GATTAATTGAAAGTTGAGGACAAGGGACAATGAAAAATATGTTGAACCGAAAAACGAGAATGTGTTACAGAGGCGTCAGTGTTCATATAATGTGACTGAGGTAGTGGTGGAGGCAACCTTACTAAGTAGCTTCAGATACAGGTATGACAGCGATCAGAAAAAAGTGCTCTTTCAGCTCTTTCAGTGCTCTCTTTCAGTGTGCTCTTTCAGTGTGCTCTTTCCATCGCGTCGGTATAGAATACAGACACGATGGAAAAACAGACGTAAATACAGTATAAAACGATCTTTTATCGACAATGTTTTGCCCACACAGTGACCTTCATCAGGTCACAAACAGATCTATCTGCGTAGAGAGTACGTGAGTATGTCTAGTGATCACAGTGACGTGAAGAGTCACGTGGGGAATTCTGAGAAGAGCTGGATTTGAGAAGGACCTGCACGGAATGGGCAAATAGATTGATTGCTATATAGGATAACGACGAGGAAGTTTCCTGGCAAAGGGTTCGGATATGTTGTAAAAGTCGTTGTTCTGGTTGAAGTTGTTGAATATACAAATGAGTGATGAGTGATGAGTCTAAGATCCTGAGACACCCTGGCGATGAGTCTTGAGTCTCTAAAGTTGATTAAATGGATGTGGAAGTTTCAGTGCAAAACGCAGCCATTCCTCGGGCATTGGTGTTCTGAAATACGTGATTAAAGGTCTCTGGATGTCTCGCCCACGTATAACTGGTTGCAATCATTGCAAAGGATTATGTATAACCCTGCAGGAGATTGAACCTTGTGGTGTCTCTTGCTGGTGATGTCTTTGACGGTGATGGTGGATGTGGAGGTAGATACTTCGAATGAGGTATTGGCAAAGATGCTGGAGAGGTGTTAGACAACGAAGTTAGTGGAGAGGATCATGTACCTCCTCTCACAAGTATCTTATCTGGGTGAGTTGAAGATGTTCTATGCAAGGCGTCCACAATCTCTAGTGAAGTGATGAAGATAATGTAGTTTAGAAAATGCTTGTTCGATGAAAGCGCATTTCTCCTCAAGGCATTCACTAGTACACATTCACTAGTACACATTCACTAGTACACATTCACTAGTACACATTCACTAGTACACATTCACTAGTACACATTCACTAGTACACATTTACTAGTACACATTCACTAGTACACATTCACTAGTACACATTTACTAGTACACATTCACTAGTACACATTCACTAGTACACATTCACTAGTACACATTTACTAGTACACATTCACTAGTACACATTTACTAGTACACATTTACTAGTACACATTCACTAGTACACATTCACTAGTACACATTCACTAGTACACATTCACTAGTACACATTCACTAGTACACATTCACTAGTACACATTTACTAGTACACATTCACTAGTACACATTCACTAGTACACATTCACTAGTACACATTTACTAGTACACATTCACTAGTACACATTCACTAGTACACATTTACTAGTACACATTCACTAGTACACATTCACTAGTACACATTCACTAGTACACATTTGCGTCCTCTAAATCTGTAGTAGTGAATTTCTTGAGGAAGAATACTCTTTTATCGAGCAAATATTTTCTAAATATTTGTCAAGGAAAAATATAGTTCAATTTTGTACGTCCCTCAGTGTATGTCAAATTTGTACGTCCCTCAGTGTACGTCAAATTTGTACGTCCCTCAGTGTACGTCAAATTTGTACGTCCCTCAGTGTACGTCAAATTTGTACGTCCCTCAGTGTACGTCAAATTTGTACGTCCCTCAGTGTACGTCAAATTTGTACGTCCCTCAGTGTACGTCAAATTTGTACGTCCCTCAGTGTACGTCAAATTCAGTACTGTTTATACCGCATCCATAATATACTGATGAACTATTTATAATTAAAAAATGAAACAAATATGTCCAAGATCAATGAAAAAAGAAATCTTCGTTGTTTATTAATTTCGTCCTTCAAAGCAGCCAACAACTTGCCCTGAACAAACATTATCAGTTAACCCAAGTCCAATCTTGTATCTTATATACCAATATTACCACATTTCCTTTATCACTACTAAGCAACAAACCTTTCCTTAGTAAACCAAGCACATTTTCAATTTAAGTGGTTGTTAATCCTCGTACCAGAGAGCCTTCACCTGTCCTAGGTGGTACAGAGAACCATCTCTGACAGTCTTACCCTGGAGAGGATTTCGGGGGGTCACCGCCCCCGCGTCCCGGTCTGAGACCAGGCCTCCCTGATGGTAGTCTTTTCTTATATAGCTGTAATTATTCTCCTTGTATATCATATTTCTTTCATACACTTATGACTTCATATGTTATTTAATGTCGTGCCTAAGAAACTACTTAAACCCTTCCTTGAATGAGTTGAATTAATTCCTCACCAGCCCCTCTTCCCAAAATCAATTTGCCGATGCTATATTTAATTCTGGTATTCTTATCCTTAGTATGGTGTAAGTTTGATTCGATTTTCTTTGTTTCTAGATTGATTAAAGCCAACTGCCCAACGGAACTCTCAAAGAATGCAGAGAAATTAGTCATTTTATCAATAAATATTTTAGACGGGTATTGTGTCTGAGATGCTAAATATGTCACCAATGGGATACGTGGCCACGTAAAGTATGATAGGTCACTCCCTACCTTAACACTCCCGACCAATCAGTTTAACCCAATAATAAGCATATTATTAGAATAAATAATTAAAAGTGGGTACAAGTTGACGTCTCCTTGAGAGGCAAAATTTAATTAAAAAAGTATCAACGTGCATTTACAAACAGATGTTTTTGCCTGATAAATCTGATAAGTTTTCAATGTGGTATTGAGGAGAGGTGAACCAGTTTACATCTCTTTGACAGAGATGTAAACTACTGTTGTGCATGAGTGGCACATGATACCGACAAGATAAATTAGACACATGTGCAACATCTGGGTATCTAGTGTAGACGTTTGCCCATCCAGTAACTTTACCAACACATATTCAAGGACATAATTGGAATTTGCACTGATAAAGCCACTGGAGGGCGAAACTTATAGAATAAAGATACAGAGATGTTGCACACGTGTCTAATTCTTGACGTAAACTACTACCTGGGTTATTAATAACTAAGAGCTTGCACAGAGACGGTGAAAACCGAATGCGGACCAGACACAGGTGACTCTGCAAGGATAAGTTTTAAACTTCCCTGTTCTGTGTGATATTCCTTAATGAGGAAAAATGAGGAGAATAAACATAGAAAGATTTGCCTAATTTACAAGCTGACACATCATCATGAATGAGAGACTAAAGATGATCTGGATATGTTAATGTTGAGGTGCTGATCCTGGGATGACAGAGTAAGTTCGGCATCTTTAAAGTAAATAATACAGAATATATAAATAACTCGTACGTAGGAGAGTGAAACTTATAACGACGGTCCGTTCTGACTTGGATCATCAAGTAGTTAATGGTCCAAGTCGGACCGAAACGTCGTTATAACTTTAATTCTCAGGTGTGGGGGGTTATTTGTGTATATTCCAGTCATGGAATTGTGGCTTTTTATTGTAATATAGAATCTATCATGCTGGATGTGAAGGTCTTAGGAGCACCAGTTAACAGGAAATTTAAGACAAGACAACAGTGTTATGAGACGGCGAACATTTAGTCACAAATTTGTACTATATATCTTTATATGGTTAGTAAGGTCTGGTGTAGATTACGTGGCGTAGTTCTGGTCTCCACTCTCTGGCCTCCTATAGAATGAATAAAAATACACGGAGAAAACCATACGAAGAATGACGAAAAATTAGTCCCATGCATCAGAAATGTTTCTTCAGAAGATAGTTTAGGCTCACTGAACTCGCAGTCTCAACAACAGTTAGAATATGGAAAAGGGGAACGAAAAAATATGAAAAACTAGGATCAACTGGTTATTCAGCGATCTGCTACAGTCACTACACACACTCAAGGTATGATTTTCACACTGCTACACTCACTACATGTACTCAGGCTGAAAATATTAGAGATAATAGAACTCATTAATACAACAGCAACAAATTCAATCACGCTGAAATATAATCCTCTGTCCACTGAAAAATGAAGCCAATTCAAGCTATGTCAGTGAGAGAGGAGCAGGCTTGCCAGCAAGCGGCGTGGCCTTGTGTGTTGACTGGTCCTCTGTTAAGACTGGTAGGCACTTACTGACTCAGACAATAAGTGTCTACAGTGGACGCCGGGACTGTGGCCCATCACAGGAACCATCGGCTGTAACCTTCCTATGGCCTCAGGCACACTCGTCTTTCCCCGGCATTCCCTCCCTCCCCTTCAGTTTCCCAACACACACACACACACACACACACACACACACTCACACACTCACACACACACACACACACACACACACACACACACACACACACACACACACACACACACACACACACACACACACTGTCAGCAAAGATTCGTGTTCGGGAGTATGTCCGAGAACTCAGCGAAGCAAAACATAGCTGACCTTTCCTGTGCAAGCAGCAAGGAAGGACAAAAATCCAGTTGGTCCAGGATCTTAATTTAATTAAGAGATGTTCTTATATTGTATTGCGTTTGCATATATATATATATATATATATATATATATATATATATATATATATATATATATATATATATATATATATATATATACATATATATATATACATATATGTATATATATATATATATAATATATATATATATATATATATATATATATATATATATATATATATATATATATATATATATATATATATATATATATATGTAATGTACATCATTTTTCTCGTCTCCCAGGTACATATTTTTCTTTCATATATAATAATTTAAAGTTCGTAAGCTTGTTGAGTGTACATGTATAATTATGTAAGTACCTTTTTCTCAGTCGTATACTTTTTTATATAATGTAAATACTTCTGATTTATAAATATATTTCCATGTACATGCTTTTGTCTCATGCACTTCATGTTTCAGCTGTGACTGGAGTGAAGGACAGAGGCGACAACTACGATCTGACAGACATAGAAACAACAGAGACCAGAGAAGCTCAGTGGTGAAGAACTCGTGGGTTAGCAGAACTAACTAACCCAGTGCTACAGTACTGATACAATCCCGTCCACTGAGTTAAAAATATATATATGTGTAAGAATTACCATATAGCTACTGAGGTGAATGAGAATAGCGTCGTCAGTGTACCTAAGTGAAATATCTGTTGAAATTCACACATGAACTGGAGGTGATAAAAACAAGTGAAGATATTGAAAAAGTGAATTAAAAATCCTAAGTTGAAAAATAAAAATAGTGGATTCAGATAATACATATAAGAACATTGTAATACGCAGTTTTCACACAATGCACAAGGTAAAATAAAGAAATAATGAAAGCAGAAATTAGAAAGCAGTAAATCTGAAGGTGCACGCAGATTTTTTTTTCGGTATATTAGAAAAGATACTGGTTGTTAAGTTGACCACAGTCAAAAAAAAAAAAAAAAAAAAAAAAAAACCTCTCTCAATTTTTCCCTTCTCCGTCTTCCTGCGAGGTTATCTTCATACTGACTGGAGACTGAAGGCCGAGGTCCTCCACCGAGATGTTGAATGTGTTAGAAACAAAGGCGGTGGCTTTGTCGGTGATGGCTATCCTCACTCTCTGCTTCTCCCTCCTGCCTCTTCTAGTGCGCAGACTCCTACTTCGTAGTATTCACCAAGACAAGAGCCAGGTATGATCTTCCGGCACGCAAACACTGTCAGTAAGCCTACTGCAGTGCTCCTTCTTTCTTATGTTTTTATGTTTGGTCAAGTGAATTCTTTGTGTTCTGTAGCATGGTTACGATTAAGGTTCATTATACTCGTCCCTCAGCGTATGATTTAGTCTTTTCTGGTATTTAATATATTTATTGTGTACTAATTTCAGCAGCATTATGCAGCTCAGTGTCACCACCAACAAAAAATTCCCTGGCAATATAACTTGCGCTTAATGTCATCGCTGCATGACAACTTTGTCCACTGAGTCTCACTAACGTCCAGTCCCTCCAAAAGAGCCACAATACACCACACTGATCTACCAAGCTGAAAACCCATCATGCACTTCTTCCAACACCAACATATAACTAGTTGAAGGAGCGACAGCTGGCAGCAGCAGCAGCAGCAGCAGCAGCAGCAGCAGCAGCAGCAGCAGCAGCAACAGCAGCAGCAGCAGCAGCAGCAGCAGCAGCAGCAGCAGCAGCAGCAGCAGCAGCAGCATGCAGAACTGACCGATGATGTCACGATGATCTGAGGGAACCACAGGCCACAGACATGTGTGCATGATAGGTAAACATTCTCCCGCCCCTCCCTACACATCCAGCAAGACCACATCTTGAATGAGAGAAGCTGAGACTAAGAACAAAGACCACTTGCCACGGTATTTACATCCCGACAATAACTACTGTCCCTCACGTGGAAGAAATTACATGAAATTCTCTATTCTACTTTATATTTCGGAATCACGTACACTTCTACACACACATACATCTAACACAGTTAAACAAGCACCATAATAAAATGAACACATTCACACAGAGTTCAAATGTCCAGTTCACATGTCCAGCATCAGCTAAAAATCCATCAATTAATTAATATTAAACGTCCGATAAAATTTTCCAAATTGTTTCTGCAAGCATAATGATGATTAAACTAAGAAAACGCATGCTTACTCAAACATAACTCAGGCACTATTCAATGTGGGAAGAAAAGAACGAAATTTAAGCCAGGTTCTTGAGATGCGGGGAAAAAGCCTGTTATAAGAAACTCCTTTGCCCTTTTCTGTCTGGTTGTGAGGTTTCCTGCTGGGTTATGCACTATGTATTGGCTGTCAAGGAGGTTGGTTCCTCACCCATGCATGTGCCAAACCCCAGAAAAAAGGAGAACCGTTATTATGGCAGAGATACAAGAGGAGCTCACCAGAACTAATATAGGCTTTTTTTAAGAAAGTACGTTCTGAATTCCTTAGTACATAGCTCAGTCCTCGTGTGAATGGCAGTCAGCAAGACACAGCATGGTAGTCTACAACCAGACTTCTACATTACCGCTGGCATCAGTTTCACAAGCTTCTTCGTCAGTGTATATGTGTGACCCATTGTATATGTGTGTGTTATAACTTTTATATTTATTATGCTTTAGAAGGCGCTATAACCAATTGATTATTCACCGTTATCACTGCAACAAGCTCTTACACCATTATCAATTCACTATCATAAATTATATTGGTTCTATCTTTTGTAAGTTGCTACTGTATGTAATAGACTCTTGCCATCTTTAAGTTACTGTTTCCTTGTCAACTCGCTGCTATCGTGACTAATTCACGATCATGTTACATGAATGATCACAATACATTCTAAACAAGTCAAAAATCATTAATCGCGTTACACAAAGTGCGTCCATAATTCCTTTCAAGTCACAGGTAATAAGTCACGTTACAGAAGCCATCACACTGTCCTGGGATAGACGCAGGTGGAGGGGGAAGAAGGATATTCAGATTTGATGAGGAAAAATGACTAAAACATTTCTGATTCCTTAGAAACCAGCCCCTTCACTGCTCAGAAAATGTGTACAATAATGACACCTCTGCATTCATTTTGTAAAACCTTTGTGTAATATTGTGACTAATTTCTCTGCTGTGTGACCCGGCTCTGTCTAGATCTGTTAACCTTGTTGACAGTTATATTTGTTCATTTAATGAAGAGGCTGGTTATTTGCAGCTTATTATAACATTGGTAGCTGCTAGCTGGTAAAAAGATATGACATGATAGCGTTGTATATGACTGAATTTGTTAACTGGAAATCATACACTTTTAGTCTCCTTGTTACCCCCTAAAATATAGCTATCATCAGACACCTTGTTCACCTGCTGGAGGGTCTGGCACAGTGTCACCTTCCCTCTTCTCCACCTACTGCTTTGGAACAGCTTGGCTGCAATTGTAGCATAATAATAATAATAATAATAATAATAATAATAATAATAATAATAATAATAATAATAATAATAATAATAATAATAATAATAATAATAATATTAATAATAATAATAATAACTTGCCTAGTGCCTGGAGTCACATCTCGCAAAAAAAGAATCTTTGTATTTCATAAAGCGCTAAACCCATGAGAGTCATTCAAAGCAGGGAGCGGCGATGGAGAGTCGGGTCCTCTGTTGAATATTCACTGTCCAGTTAGGTTAAGTAAGTTTATTCAGGTATACACAAATACAGTTACATAGCAGCGTATGTGTAGAGAACTTAGGATAACCCAAAAAAGTCAGACAAAGTGACTTATTTCCATTGTAAATGATCTGATGATACCGACGAAGTGTGGGAAAGGACATCTGCGTGCAGTTCAGGACATTCATTAAAAGAAACGTTTCGCCCCGAGTGACTTCATCAGTCCTGATGAGGCTACTTAGGGCGGAGTTTCTCTTAACTGAACTGTACACAAGTGTCCTTTTCCACAGCCGGTGAAGCTAAACATCACTGTCTTCCTTGCAGACTGCACTCACCGGGTGTCTGTGTTTTGGAGCTGGCGTCCTGTTGTCTATAGTGTTCGTGCACTTGCTGCCTGAGACCAGGGAGACTTACCAGGACGCCATGAACTCTGGCTTCATGAAGCAAACTTCCTTCCCTGTGGCCGAGGTCGTTTTGTGCTGCGGGTTTTTCTTGGTGTACCTAATGGAGGAAATTATTCACACTTGGATCAATCATCGAAGTCAGCTAGACGAAGTGGAAGTAACTCACGAAGGTCCCACAACGTTTGAAGACGCGAAGGAAATGGCCAAGCTGAAGAGGCTACCTGTGATCAGGGTGTCAGAAAGCCGTCACTCAACTGGCAGCCACATTGCCGTCATGAGTGTGATGGTGCTAACAAATTTAGATGGCAAGAGTAACGAGATATTTGAGGGCGACGACTATTCCAAGGGAGATAAAGAAAATGATGCCAACAGGCACAATGTCCACACAATACCACACTGCCACCACTCCTCACCCGTAGACAACAAAACGTCTGTGATGGGAGCCGTGGTAGTTGTGGTGGCTCTGTCCTTCCATGGTATCATGGAGGGTCTAGCACTCGGCCTTGAGAGTACTAATACAGGCGTCTGGATTCTCTTTGGAGCTATGAGTGCGCATAAATTTGTAATAGGCTTCAGCATGGCCATGGAACTGCTGGAAGTTGGGGTCCCCTTTAAACCATTTTTGGCTTCCATGATTATCTTCTCATTAGCCGCACCTCTTGGCTGTCTTTTTGGCTGTCTGGTGCTAGCTTTCTCAACTGGAGAAACTGCGGTGGGACTCCTGCTTCCCAACGTCTTGCAATCAGTGGCCGGAGGGACAGTTCTTTATATCACTTTCTGCGAAGTTTTAGAAAGAGAGCGGACTAAGCCCTTGGGAGGGTGGGTGCGCTTCTTGACCTTACTGATAGGCTTTTTCGTCATGGTGGGACTGGAGTCCTTGGAGGCTGAGGATACTAACCTTCCTACCACGAATGCGACCACTATCCAATCCTTTACCACGCTTGAATTCTCTTCCGCGATCTTTACTACGATAGATGGCTCCACTACGATAAATAACGTTACTACGACGGATATCTTCACCACGATAAATAACTTCACTTCGGAAAATAACTTGACCACTATGGCGACTGAAATAACAAAGGTAGTTGTGAGCATTGCTGATAACAGTGGACCTTGACTAGCGAATTTAAGACAGTGAGGAGAGATTCTCTGCCTCATATGAACACTGTCAGCCCAACCTGTGATCCCAAGCTTTGTGTTGTTGCTCATGACATAGTGATCCCACGAGCTGGTCACAGCAATGATTATATGAGCTGGTCGCAGCAATGATCCCATGAGCTGCTAACAGCAATGATTATATGAGCCGGTCTGAGCAATGATTATATAATCTGGCCACAACAATGCTTATATAATCTGGCCACAGCAATGATCCCATGAGCTGCTAACAGCAATGATTATATGAGCCGGCCACAGCAATGATTATATAATCTGGCCACAACAATGATTATATGAGCTGATCACAGCAATTATTATATGAGCTGATCACAGCAATTATTATATGAGCTGTTCACAGCAATTATTATATGAGATGACCACAGCAATTATTATATGAGCTGATCACAGCAATGATTATATGAGCCGGTCTGGGCAATGATTATATGAACTGGTCGCAGCATTGCTTATATAATCTGGCCATAGCAATGATTATGAGCTGATCACAGCAATGATTATATGAGCTGGTCTGAGCAATGATTATATGAGCCGGTCTGAGCAATGATTATATGAGCTGGCCACAGCAATGATTATGAGTGGGTCGCAGCAATGATTATATAATCTGGCCATAACAATGACTGTATGAGCTGGTCGCAGCAATGATTATATAATCTGGCCATAGCAATGACTATGAGCTGGTCGCAGCAATGATTATATAATCTGGCCATAGTAATGACTATGAGCTGGTCGCAGCAATGATTATATAATCTGGCCATAGCAATGACTATGAGCTGGTCGCAGCAATGATTATATAATCTGGCCATAGCAATGACTATGAGCTGGTCGCAGCAATGATTATATAATCTGGCCATAGCAATGACTATGAGCTGGTCGCAGCAATGATTATATAATCTGGCCACAACAATGATTCCCGGATCTGGTAACATTTTGAGAATTATTAAAAAGTTGAATAATGAATTTAAATGTTACAGATATACACTGAGAAGTCTTAGTAGATTCACAAGCTAAGAAATGTAGCATTTATGTAAGTAAGATCATCTACGGTAGAATATGCAACGTAAATCTTGCAGTTGCCAGGCTGAGGCTTACAAGTACATTTGGCAGTTTGATGTTAGCGTATACACAGACTGCTGAAGCTGGATGTCATGTGTGCAGTCGACCTTATAGATGCACAGACGTTGTAAATCAATGGTATACAGTACCGACAAGATGATGTATTATTCATATGTGCAACATTTGGGTGTCTTTACTTTCTAGACGTAAAGCCATCCAGTGGCTTTATCAACACAATACTCGGACATAATGTGAAGACTAGGGAAATAGACACGTCTACAACATACCCAGATGCTGCACATGTGTGTAATTTATCAACAGGTAAAAACGTAAAGGGCATGTCTCCTTACATTCATTACCACTACTTACCTTGCGGTAAGTAGGCACCTTGGTGTTACTCACCTGTTGTGGGTCACTTCCTGGGAAACAGTCATCTGCTACAACAAACCTCTGAGACACTCAAACTCCCTCAAGTGACCTAATCGTCCACTCTAATATGAGAACCCGTGAAGATAATTGTTACATCAGGTATCCCTTTATTCAACACTGTGTTGCACTGTCCACTTATTGAGAAATACAGAAACATATAATGGGGTTCCCTGAGTGTTGTCAGCGTAGCTTACTAGTGAAAAAAATGTACACCTGAAACTGAGTAAATATCTCAACTTCGCTTGTTATAATATATTTTACGTGCGTCAAATAATGATAATATTGTAGTATACAAGTATACTTTAGTTAAACTTTTTGATAGTGCTATTGTGTATCCATAACCCCTGGTGTTATACTCCACACCATGTATATACCCTGGTGTTATACTCCACACCATGTATATACCCTGGTGTTATACTCCACACCATGTATATACCCTGGTATTATACTCCACACCATGTATATACCCTGGTGTTATACTCCACACCATGTATATACCCTGGTGTTATACTCCACACCATGTATATACCCTGGTGTTTATACTCCACACCATGTATATACCCTGGTGTTATACTCCACACCATGTATATACCCTGGTGTTATACTCCCACACCATGTATATACCTGGTGTTATACTCCACACCATGTATATACCCTGGTGTTATACTCCACACCATGTATATACCCTGGTGTTATACTCCACACCATGTATTAACCCTGGTGTTATACTCCACACCATGTATATACCCTGGTGTTATACTCCACACCATGTATATACCTTGGTGCTATACTCCACACCATGTATATACCCTGGTGTTATACTCCACACCATGTATATACCCTGGTGCTATACTCCACACCATGTATATACCCTGGTGCTATACTCCACACCATGTATATACCCTGGTGTTATACTCCACATCATGTATATACCCTGGTGCTATACTCCACACCATGTATATACCCTGGTGCTATACTCCACACATGTATATACCCTGGTGCTATACTCCACACCATGTATATACCCTGGTGCTATACTCCACACCATGTATATACCCTGGTGTTATACTCCACACATGTATATACCCTGGTGTTAACTCCACACCATGTATATACCCTGGTGTAATACTCCACACCATGTATATACCCTGGTGCTATACTCCACACCATGTATATACCCTGGTGCTATACTCCACACCATGTATATACCCTGGTGCTATACTCCACACCATGTATATACCCTGGTGTTATACTCCACACCATGTATATACCCTGGTGTTATACTCCACACCATGTATATACCCTGGTGTTATACTCCACACCATGTATATACCCTGGTGCTATACTCCACACCATGTATATACCCTGGTGCTATACTCCACACCATGTATATACCCTGGTGCTATACTCCACACCATGTATATACCCTGGTGCTATACTCCACACCATGTATATACCCTGGTGCTATACTCCACACCATGTATATACCCTGGTGTTATACTCCACACCATGTATATACCCTGGTGCTATACTCCACACCATGTATATACCCTGGTGCTATACTCCACACCATGTATATACCCTGGTGCTATACTCCACACCATGTATATACCCTGGTGCTATACTCCACACCATGTATATACCCTGGTGCTATACTCCACACCATGTATATACCCTGGTGTTATACTCCACACCATGTATATACCCTGGTGCTATACTCCACACCATGTATATACCCTGGTGCTATACTCCACACCATGTATATACCTGGTGCTATACACCACACCATGTATATACCCTGGTGCTATACTCCACACCATGTATATACCCTGGTGCTATACTCCACACCATGTATATACCCTCGTGTTATACTCCACACCATGTATATACCCTGGTGTTATACTCCACACCATGTATATACCCTGGTGTTATACTCCACACCATGTATATACCCTGGTGTTATACTCCACACCATGTATATACCCTGTTGTTATACTCCACACCATGTATATACCCTGGTGTATACTCCACACATGTATATACCCTGGTGTTTATAATCCACACCATGTATATACCCTGGTGTTATACCCACACCATGTATATATCCCTGGTGTTATACTCCACACCATGTATATACCCTGGTGTTATACTCCACACCATGTATATACCCTGGTGTTATACTCCACACCATGTATATACCCTGGTGTTATACTCCACACCATGTATATACCCTGGTGTTATACTTCACACCATGTATATACCCTGGTGTTATACTCCACACCATGTATATACCCTGGGTGTTATACTCCACACCATGTATATACCCTGGTGTTATACTCCACACCATGTATATACCCTGGTGTTATACTCCACACCATGTATATACCCTGGTGTTATACTCCCACCATGTAATACCCTGGTGTTATACTCCACACCATGTATATACCTGGTGTTATACTCCACACCATGTATATACCCTGGTGTTATACTCCACACCATGTATATACCCTGGTGTTATACTCCATACCATGTATATACCCTGGTGTTATACTCCACACCATGTATATACCCTGGTGTTATACTCCACACCATGTATATACCCTGGTGTTATACTTCACACCATGTATATACCCTGGTGTATACTCCACACCATGTATATACCCTGGTGTTATACTCCACACCATGTATATACCCTGGTGTTATACTTCACACCATGTATATACCCTGGTGTTATACTCCACACCATGTATATACCCTGGTGTTATACTTCACACCATGTATATACCCTGGTGTTAAACTCCACACCATGTATATACCCTGGTGTTATACTCCACACCATGTATATCCCTGGTGTTATACTTCACACCATGTATATACCCTGGTGTTATACTCCACACCATGTATATACCCTGGTGTTATACTTCACACCATGTATATACCCTGGTGTTATACTCCACACCATGTATATACCCTGGTGTTATACTCCACACCATGTATATACCCTGGTGTTATACTCCACACCATGTATATACCCTGGTGTTATACTTCACACCATGTATATACCCTGGTGTTATACTCCACACCATGTATATACCCTGGTGTTATACTCCACACCATGTATATACCCTGGTGTTATACTTCACACCATGTATATACCCTGGTGTTATACTCCACACCATTGTATATACCCTGGTGTTATACTCCACACCATGTATATACCCTGGTGTTATACTTCACACCATGTATATACCCTGGTGTTATACTCCACACCATGTATACACCCTGGTGTTATACTCCACACCATGTATATACCCTGGTGTTATACTCCACACCATGTATATACCCTGGTGTTATACTTCACACCATGTATATACCCTGGTGTTATACGCCACACCATGTATATACCCTGGTGTTATACTCCACACCATGTATATACCCTGGTGTTATACTCCACACCATGTATATACCTGGTGTTATACTCCACACCATGTATATACCCTGGTGTTATACTCCACACATGTATATACCTGGTGCTATACTCCACACCATGTATATACCCTGGTGCTATACTCCACACCATGTATATACCCTGGTGCTATACTCCACACCATGTATATACCCTGGTGCTATACTCCACACCATGTATATACCCTGGTGCTATACTCCACACCATGTATATACCCTGGTGCTATACTCCACACCATGTATATACCCTGGTGCTATACTCCACACCATGTATATACCCTGGTGCTATACTCCACACCATGTATATTACCCTGGTGCTATACTCCACACCATGTATATACCCTGGTGCTATACTCCACACCATGTATATACCCTGGTGCTATACTCCACACCATGTATATACCCTGGTGCTATACTCCACACCATGTATATACCCTGGTGCTATACTCCACACCATGTATATACCCTGGTGCTATACTCCACACCATGTATATACCCGGTGCTATACTCCACACCATGTATATACCCTGGTGCTATACTCCACACCATGTATATACCCTGGTGCTATACTCCACACCATGTATATACCCTGGTGCTATACTCCACACCATGTATATTACCCGTGCTATACTCCACACCATGTATATACCCTGGTGCTATACTCCACACCATGTATATATACCCTGGTGCTATACTCCACACCATGTATATACCCTGGTGCTATACTCCACACCATGTATATACCCTGGTGCTATACTCCACACATGTATATACCCTGGTGCTATACTCCACACATGTATATACCCTGGTGCTATAATCCACACCATGTATATACCCTGGTGCTATACTCCACACCATGTATATACCCTGGTGCTATACTCCACACCATGTATATACCCTGGTGTTATACTCCACACCATGTATATACCCTGGTGCTATACTCCACACCATGTATATACCCTGGTGCTATACTCCACACAATGTATATACCCTGGTGCTATACTCCACACCATGTATATACCCTGGTGTTATACTCCACACCATGTATATACCCTGGTGCTATACTCCACACCATGTATATACCCTGGTGTTATACTCCACACCATGTATATACCTGGTGCTATACTCCACACCATGTATATACCCTGGTGCTATACTCCACACCATGTATATACCCTGGTGTTATACTCCACACCATGTATATACCCTGGTGCTATACTTCACACCATGTATATACCCTGGTGCTATACTCCACACCATGTATATACCCTGGTGCTATACTCCACACCATGTATATACCCTGGTGCTATACTCCACCCATGTATATACCCTGGTGCTATACTCCACACCATGTATATACCCTGGTGCTATACTTCACACCATGTATATACCCTGGTGCTATACTCCACACCATGTATATACCCTGGTGCTATACTCCACACAATGTATATACCCTGGTGCTATACTTCACACCATGTATATACCCTGGTGCTATACTCCACACCATGTATATACCCTGGTGCTATACTCCACACCATGTATATACCCTGGTGTTATACTCCACACCATGTCTATACCCTGGTGTTATACACCACACCATGTATATACCCTGGTGTTATACTCCACACCATGTATATACCCTGGTGCTATACTTCACACCATGTATATACCCTGGTGCTATACTTCACACCATGTATATACCTGGTGCTATACTTCACACCATGTATATACCCTGGTGCTATACTCCACACCATGTATATACCCTGGTGCTATACTCCACACCATGTATATACCCTGGTGCTATACTTCACACCATGTATATACCCTGGTGCTATACTTCACACCATGTATATACCCTG